CGCCTTCCTCCCCCCCGCCCATCGCCCTGGCAGCTGCCCTCAGGGGGCCTACATTCTAGTGGGCCATATAATCCTGTGTGTGTGTGATGTAGCTTGGGCAGTGAGTGCTGAGGAGGAAAGAAGGGCTGGATCAAGGGGATCGAGGGTGCCGGGCAGAGGAGGGTCGCCGGGGGACTCAGAAGTGACACTGGAACAAAGACCTGAAGGAGGGGAGGAAGCGAGCCATGCAGACACCTGGAGAAACTGCAAGGGCAAAGGCTTCGAGGCAGGACCATCCTGCCCTGGTCAGAGAAAAGCGAGGAGCCTGAGAGCTGGGGGGCAGTGAGGGGAGCGGGCCGGAGGAGGAGGACGGGCGGGAGGCGGGGGGCTGAGGTCCCGGCAGGCCACTGGGGAAGACTGGCTTTTCCTGTGACTGAGTTGGGGGACCCTGGAGGGTTTCGAGCAGAGGCGTGACATGTCCTGACCGACATTTAACAGGTCCCTCTTGCCGCCGTGTTGAGGGTGGACTCGGGGGGCGGGGGGGATGGAAGAAGAGCGATCCTTGGGGAGGCTGGGTGCTGGTTGAGGTGACAGCCGATCCTGGTTGGGTCCAGGGTGCTGGCGGCAGGGGCGCTGAGAAGTGGTCGCATTCTGGACCTATTCTGAAGGTAGAGCGGACAGGGTCGGCTGAAGGGTCGGCCATGGTACATGGGAGACAGAGGAGGTGAGGGTCACTGCAGGCCTCCTGGCCTGGGTAACGAGAGGACGGAGCTGGCGTTTTCGGCAATGGAGAAGATGGAGGGAGGAGCAGCCTGGTAGAGGGCGTGGAAATCACATGTGCTGTTTGGGCTGTTACGTGTGCAGTGGCCGTTCGACATCTGCATCTGTCAGGATTCGGCTTGCCTGAACATGGCAAAAACAAACAAACAAACAAACAAAACAAATAACAGCATCTTGAGCAAGATGGAACTTCATCTCTTACGTGTAGAGACCGAAGCCTGAGGAAAACAGCCCAGGATGCTCCGGCAGCTCCACGGACACTGAGGTTCTGCCACCCTTGGCACCGGGCTCCCACCTCTTAGTGCAAGGTGGCTGTTGGAGCTCCAGCGGCCACGTGCCTGTTCCAGCGAGCAGGAAGCAGGAATGGGGAAGAACGCTCTAGGGACACTTCCCAGAAGTTTCATGGGACAGTTCCATTTATATTCATCGGGCAATATTTAGTCACAAAGTTGTCCCCAGCTCTAAAGAAGGCTGGACATGTAGCATCTGTTCCAGGCAGTGAAGTGCTGGCAATTCTTTTGTGAGGAAGAAGGAAAAGTGACTACTTGGGGACAAGTACTATTTTCTGTCACAGCCTCCAGTAAAGCCCAGTAGGCAGCTGGGTGTACAGTTCGGATCTCAGAACAGGGTCCGGGCTGGAGACATAAACAGAGTCACCGCTACACAGTATTTAAAGCAGTGAACCTGGATGAGATGACGCAGGAAGTGAGTGTAGACAGAGGAGAAGGCGTCTAAGGACTGAGTCCTGGGACCCTCCGCACTCCGTTTCTTAAAGGGGCCTGAGAAGGGGCAGCCAGAGAGGAGGGGGACAGGCAGCGGGGCGACCCGGAAGCCAAGTGACGTGAGTGTTTTGGAAGGAGAGTGGGAACCCCTGGGTCGAACGTCGCTGCTGGGCCGCAGACTGGACGCTGGATCCAGCACCAGGGCGGGCACTGGGGTCTCTGTCAGGAGCATCTTTGGTGGAGGGGTGGGGGCGACAGCCTCTCGAATGGGCTTGAGAGAGAGAGAACCCACAGGAGGATGTGGAGACGGAAATGCAGGCAACACTTTCAAGGTGTTTGTAAAGTGCGTGGGGAAATGGGGTGGTAGCCGCGGGGACGTGGGGTCGCGGGAACGTTGTTTGTTTTTCTGATTGTAGAAATAACAGCTTACTGGCCATTCCGTGAGTGGGATGCAGGAGGGGATGCCAGAGGGCAGACCTGCTGGACTGGCGAGTGGGTGGCGGAAGAGCAAGGGGCTTGAGGCACCGGTTGAGCCAGTGGGGGCAGGAGCTCAGGCTGATGATCCGCGGCCACAGGGGCAGGGTGAGGGTGGGAGTGTGGGCGTGACAGCTCGTGCAGTTTCTCCTCCGGAGCCCACTTCCTGCT